TGCGGCTGAGCATCAGTGATGCCAAAAATGTTTTCGAAAAAAAAGGACAGATTGAGAAAAAAACAGGAAAAAAAGGATGAAAATATTTAAAAAAGGATAGAAAAAAAGGACAAAAAGTTTGTTTTCACTATTATTATTTTTTATTATTAAGATAATAGTTTTAAGGCATCTTCTATTATTTTCCCGTCATCATCATTGCTGTCCTCATATGTAGCCATGGAGCCAATTAATTGGAGGTACTTCTCAGGCAAGTTATAATTATGACAGCATAACTTATGGTGACGCAATCCGAATCTGAAGAAAGAATACATGTACATGAATTTATATGTGGTAAATTTTTGAAAATATATATATATTTACCTGATTGCCAAAATGGCATTTAATGTATCCACCTCTAATCGGTTCCTACTTTTGGTTTTCACCAAGTTTACTTGGCTAAAATCTCTCTCTACTTCAGCATTTGACCATGGCAATGAAAGCAGGCTGAGAGCAAAATTCACCACGTCCTCATAGGGGTTGCCTGCAGAATCCCGATACCGCTTCACTTCTGACCAAAATGTTGAAGTATTTTCAAGTAAACCGTAAATAGAGTTGTTATACCCTTGCAGGGTATTATAATTTCAGTCAGAAGTTTGCAACGCAGTGAAGGAGACGTTTCCGACCCTATAAAGAATATATTTTCTTGATCAGCATCAACAGCCGAGTCGATCTAGCCATGTCCGTCTGTCCGTCTGTCCGTCTGTCCGTCCGTCTGTCCGTTTCTACGCAAACTAGTCCCTCAGTTTTAAAGCTATCTGAATGAAACTTTGCATATAGTCTTCTATATACTCTCACTGCTATATATGTCGGAATGGGCCGGATCGGAAGACTATATCATATAGCTGCCATACAAATGTTCGATACATTTTTAGAAAAAAAATTTTAACTTGGCTGTTTTTCAATATTATTTCATCATTTTTGAGATATAGCCTTTTTATATTATTCCAGAATTTTGGTAAAAATTTTATGAAAATCGGACCACTATATCTTATAGCTGCCATAGGAACGATCGGGAAATCAATCAAAAAAATTATAACTTCGTTGTTTTTCAACGTATTTTAATCTACTTTGACACATGAGCTTCTGGTATTATTTCAAAATTTTGGTAAAAATTTTATGAAAATCGGACTACTATATCTTATAGCTGCCATAGGAACGATAGGGAAAGTAATAGAAAAGTTATAACTTCGTTGTTTTTTAACGTATTTTCATCTACTCTGAGATATGAGCTTTACTTATTATTATAGAATTTTGGTATACATTTTATGAAAGTCGGACAACTATGTCATATAGCAGCCATAGAAGCGATCCGCAGATGTAGAGAAAATGTAAAGCTGGGAATGTATAACTGTAACTGTCAAACTGTAAACATAATAAGTATAGGTAAAATGGTATGTAACTCAGTTTAGTGTCTGTTTTCGGCATTATAATTTATGACATAAATATGAAAAGCAATCTGCAAGGGTATACAAACTTCGGCGTGCCGAAGTTAGCTTCCTTTCTTGTTTTTCGATGATTTTTTTTTACCAAACTATCGATCTAAGTATGGCAGCTGCCACCTGTTTCATATTTTACAGCTAATAATACATTAAAATTGGAGCGCGAAAGCAACTATTTTTAGAAAAAAAAGAATTAATATTAGATTTACAAAAAAAGGAAAGATTTCCGGATGAAAAATCTAAAAAAAGGACAGATTTCAGGTATGCGGATGATTTTCAATTTTTTCCGGATGAAGCGTTAAAAACAGGACAGATCTGTCCGGAAAAAGGACAAATTGGCATCACTGCTGAGCATCGAAAAGAGGCTCCGCGCGGTCCTCGCGAATCGCTATTGCGCCAACTGCTTGGCTCACGAGCATTCGGATGGAGCGTGCCGCCGTGGCGATAGGTGCAAGATCTGCAACGGAGAGCACCACACACTGCTGCATATGCAGGAGCAGCCGCTGTATTTACGCCGTTCGCGTCAGTTGACGCCGCCCTCTCGTCGCGCTCCAGCTTCTGCTCACCACGCCTCGACCTCTCTTCACCACGCTTCGATCTCTCCTCGGTGCTCTTCGGCCTCTCCTCGGCGCTCTGCGGCCTCTCTTCAGCTTTCGTCGGCCTCTCCTCGGCATTCTTCGGCCTCTCCACGGCATTCGTCGGCCTCTCCACGAACCGCGGCATTCGCCCCGCAGGGAGTTCCGACAGGGCCTTCACTGGCCACGTTGCTTCAGCGATACCGCGTGAACCTCCTCCCGACCGCGCTGGTGCGGATTGACACCGGGATGCGAGTGTTCGACACAGCGGCGCTTATCGACCCATGCACGCCTATGAGCTGCATTGACGCGTCGCTGGCGACTTCTTTGCGACTTTCAACGACAGCGGTGGGTGCTGAACAGATCTGCTCAGCCACCGTCGGCTCGAAAACGAACGCCCATGTCCGGCTCGACCTCGTTTTCAAAGTGGAGCCTCACGTGCGCGTCCGCACTCCGATCCGACAGTTGGATGAGACTGTGCGGTCCCATTTCAAGGACATCACCTTGGCTGATGAACGGTTCTACCTTCCGGCTACGATCTCCGTCATCCTGGGCGCGGATGTGTACCCCAAAGTTATGCAGCCTGGGTTCCTGAAAGTGCGCTCTCGCTCTCAGCTTGCGCTCTGCGCAGCTTGCTCTCTCGCTCTTCTAGCGGAGGCTTTCGACTCTGGGCAATCGGCGGTTCTGATCTCTCACTCCAACTTGTACTTTTAATTCCTATATTGAACTCGAATAAAGAGGACCACGTCCACTCGTTAACATTGAAAATAACCACGCCCCCCGGCCTACTACTTTCTTGCGGTATTCATTTTGGTGGTGACTTTTTTTCTTTGGTGTTTCCGACTGCGGCGCGGGAGTGTTTTCTTTAATAATAATTTGTGCTCATCCTACGGAACGGAATCAGCAAGTTTCCCCCCAGCCGAACAGTAAATTTTTTAAAAATTTTGTAAATTTTTTTAAAAATTTTGTAAATTTTTGTAAATTTTTTAAAAACTTTGTAAATTTTTTTAAAAACTTTGTAAATTTTTTTAAAAATGTTGTAAATTTTTAAACAAATTTTTAAAAAAATTTACAAAATTTTTAAAAGTTTAAAAAAATTTAAAAATTTTAAAAAAAGTTTACAAAATTTTAAAAAAATTTACAAAATTTAAAAAAAATACAAAATTTTTAAAAAATTTACAAAATTTTTAAAAATTTAAAAAAATTACAAGATTTTTAAAAAAATTTACAAAATTTTAAAAAAATTTAAAAAATTACAAATTTTAAAAATTTTACAAGTTTAAAAAAATTTGCAAAGTTTTTTAAAAAATTCTACAAATTTTTACAAAAATTTAAAAAATTTTTAAAATTTACAAAATTTTAAAAAATTTACAACATTTTTAAAAAAATTTTTCAAAAAATTTAAAAAAAATTAATTTGATTTTTTAACAAATTTTATTAAAAAATTTACAAAAATTTACAAAATTTTTAAAAAAATTTAAAAATTTTTAAAAAATTTACAAAATTTTTAAAAACTTACAAACATTTTAAAAATTTACAAAATTTTTAAAAAATTTAAGTTTTTTTGTAAATTTTTGTAAAAATTTTGTAAATTTTTTTAAAAATTTTGCAAATTTTTTTTTAAATTTTGTAAAATTTTTTAAACATTTTGTAAATTTTTTTAAAAACTTTGTAAATTTTTTTAAAAATTTTGTAAATTTTTTAAAAATTTTGTAAATTTTTTTAAAAATTTTGTAAATTTTTTTAATAAAATTTATTAAAAAATTAAATTAAATTTTTTTTATTTTTTTTTAAATTTTTTGAAATTTTTTTTTTAAATGTTGTACATTTTTTTAAAAATTTTGTAAATTTTTTTAAAAATTTTGTAAATTTTTTAAAAATGTTGTAAATTTTGTAAAATTTTTTAAATTTTTGTAAAATTTTGTAAATTTTTTTGAAAAATTTTGCAAATTTTTTTTTAGATTTTGTAAAATTTTTTAAACATTTTGTAAATTTTTTTAAAAACTTTGTAAATTTTTTTATAGATTTTGTGAGAATTTTTTTAAAAGATTTTGTAAATTTTTTAAAAACTTTGTAAATTTTTTTTATAGGTTTTGTAAATTTTTAAATTTTAAATTTTTAAAATTTTGTAAATTTTTTTAATAAAATTTATTAAAAATTAAATTAAATTTTTTTATTTTTTTAAATTTTTTGAAAATTTTTTTTAAAATGTTGTACATTTTTTTTAAAAATTTTGTACATTTTTTAAAAAATTTTTTAAAATTTTTTAAAAATTTTTTAAATTTTTTTAAAAATGTTGTAAATTTTTTTAAAAATTTTGTAATTTTTTAAAAATTTTGTAAATTTTTAAAAATTTTGTAATTTTTTAAACATTTTTTAAATTTTTTAAAAATTTTGTAAATTTTTTAAAAATTTTGTAAATTTTGTAAATTTTTTATAAAATTTGTTAAAAAAATTAAATTAAAATTTTTTATTTTTTTAAATTTTTGAAAATTTTTTAAAAATGTAAATTTTTTAAAAATTTTGTAATTTTTTAAAAATTTTGTAAATTTTTTTAAAATTTTTTAAAATCTTTAAAAACCTTGTAAATTTTTTTAAAAATTTTGTAACTTTTTTAAAATTTTGCAAATTTTTTTAAATTTGTAAAATTTTTTAAACATTTTGTAAATTTTTTTAAAAACTTTGTAAATTTTTTTAAAAATTTTGTAAATTTTTTAAAAATTTTGTAAATTTTTTAAAAATTTTGTAAATCTTTTAAAAATTTTGTAAATTTTTTTAAAAATTTTGTAAATTTTTGTAAATTTTTTTTATAAAATTTGTTAAAAAATTAAAATAAATTTTTTTTATTTTTTTTTTAATTTTTTGAAAAATTTTTTTAAAAATGTTGTAAATTTTTTTTAAAATTTTGTAAATTTTTTTAAAAACTTTGTAATTTTTTTTAAAAATTTTGTAATTTTTTTTAAAAATTTTGTAAATTTTTTTAAAAATTTTTGTAAATTTTGTAAAATTTTGTAAATTTTTGTGAAATTTTTTTAAATTCTTGTAAAAATTTTGGAACCTTTTAAAATCTTTAACTTTTTGTTTAAAATTTGCAATTTTTTTAAAATTTTGTAAAAATTTTTTTTATAATTTTGTAAATTTTTTAAAAACTTTGTAACTTTTTAAAAATTTTGTAAATTTTTTTAAATTTTGTAAAATTTTTTAAACTTTGTAAATTTTTTAAAATTTTGTAAATTTTTTAAAAAAATTTTGGAATTTTTAAAAATTTTGTAAATTTTTTTAAAAATTTTGTAAAATTTTTTTAAAATTTGTAAAACTTTTAAAAATTTTGTAACCTTTTAAAAATTTTTAAATT